GGGACCTCTCATGGCACAACACAAGCAAACACTGTCATTGTGCATTTGATTTTAAATGAATTTTTGTTCATTTTGTGTTCAGAAACATTTCCCAATGCCCTCTTTCAGTTACAGGACCCCATGGAATTACAACTCATTTTTAAGATGTGTACTAGGCAGCCAAGAGCCTGCACTACCACATATTAAGGATGTAGGGCATTCTCAACGATGTAATAAATTTTTAGAGTGCACATTATGTGTCAATATAGGGTTGAAAGTGGATGACCTATTTCCTACCCATAATAATAGGTCATGGGCAACACTTTCCCCCTATTAGATAAATTGGGCTGAGGATTGTCACAGGAAAAATACAGGAGGGCTCCAGCAAACTAAAGTTTATTGGAAGGTCACAGGGGCTGGCATTCAGCTCAGGAGTGAAACCAACCAGCAATCTAATGGCCACTTAGGGAAGTTCTTATAGGGGGTTTGAGAACACAAAAGGCAGCAAACAAATTTTACATTTTTGGGTGGAAGCATGGTATGTGCATTGTGAAACTTATGGCGGGGGCACATCTTGGGCTGAAAATAGCCTTTGTGGCTACTGTGTCGTAGGTCATGGGTGCATGGAGCCTTTTTATCTGTCTACAGATGGTCAGTGGTTATGCTGACTCAGTTCCTGCTTTTCATGGGGGCTTGCAAATTAGGAGGGTGGGGTTGCTCTGAGCCTGAATTCTATTGTTTCAGCCTTTTGTGTTATAGGGTAGGGGGCAACATGTTCTCATCTGGCTGCTTCCTGCTGACCAGGATCGACGTGGGGAATAGGAAAGGCTGGGCGATAGAATGAGGCTAGGTGACAGGAGTTTCGACCTCATGGATCTGGGCAGGGTCTTCCTTGGTGGTCAGGAGCATCTCATATACCTGTGGGTGCAGGGGGAAGAGAGTAACAATTAATTAAAATTGGTATGGGTGAGCAGTTGGATTTGAACTTGGAGGTAGCAAAACAAACAGGGCTGCAGTTAATATGAGGTCAATGGAGAGTAGGGGCCTAAGCATGGGTAGAAGCCATGGTGTTAGTCCCTCAAGGAGCCCCCATTGGGGTGATCATTGGTATTGGGTTTTTTGAGTGAGAGGTCTTTGGCCACCCTTCAAAGGCATTGTACATTTTGTTCACTCTTCCCTGATTGATTGACATAGTGATAGCACTCCTCACCCAGAAATGCAGATACCCCTTCTCAGATGTCAGTTAGTCCAGGGCCCGTCTATTCTGAAGAGTTACTTCAGCTAAGGAGGACAGTTCCTGTTGTAGGACCTGGATTGACTGGGCTGAAGCTTCAATAGTCGTGATAAGTTCCTGCTTGAGTCCCTGGATTTCCTGAGAAAAATGTTGGGCTGAGAGTAGTGTATGTCCCACTTTCCCTGCTGCAAGCCTGGCGGCTGCCACCAGGCTGATCCCCACCAGGACTCCTAAGGGAGTTAGAATTTTCATCCATGACAGAGTGAAGGCTCTGCACCTCTCCTGAAGTAAACAGGGTAAGTTTGGGCACGAGGACAACAGGGAAATACAGGTGTACGCCAAAGAGAAGCAGAAGAAAAGTGATCTTGGAGCCAGATCAGTGTTGCTCTGGACTGTTATGTTGCTGATTGAGGAGCGGGGGCAGCTTGAGGTCTGAGAGGCACTCTGATTAAGAAAAGAAGGTGAAGGAGGTAAGGGGTGTTGTGTGAATGGGGTTGGAGAGCACTGAGCACTTGCCTGGTTGCTGACATTATGGACTGTGAGGGAAAGGAGGAGCAAGCCCTGGAGTGGGGTGCAGAGGAAGGAGGCAGATGCATTAAGGGTAGAGAAGCTTTTTAGGAGAGACAAAGGGACAGGACATTGGTCCAGGAGAAGCTGCAGGAGACATTAAAATGACAGGGTTGTTGGATTGTTTGGCATCTTGTTTGGTCAAGGGTTTCCATGACCTTCTGAAACCATGAATCTTGGATGGTTTCATTTTTATTCTGAAAAGGTCTATGGGGCTTGCTGAGTAATAGACACCTGCCACAGCAATTTGGTCCCTTGACCATGAATGTGGATTGTTTATTTTTAAGTCACTTCACACTTATGGCCTGCTGTGTCACCCTTTTTCTTTCCTCTAAGTATCACATTTAGGGCCATAAGTTTATAGATTTGAGTTCATTCCCCATTTGCCCCCTGCTTGTGACAGGTAGCCAGGAAATCTTTTAGCAGGCCAGGAGAGTGGCTGTGCTCCTTTGTGAAGGCCAGTCACCAGATCCAAGAAACTAAGAGAAAGAACGTAAGTGTGATGGGTCAGGCCGGTCTGCCCACCAGGTGGGCTTGGGTGAAACACAGTAACTATGCCAGCAGCTCAACAGTCGTGGAGACCAATGTCCATGCTAGGACCGGGAATGACCTCAGAGCAAATTGAAAGGAAAAAGAGAATCTAGGAGAAGTTTCAGAGAGGAAGGGAGAGAGAGACAGAGACAGAGAGACAGAGAGGAGAGAGGAGGAGAGAGAGAGAGAGAGAGACAGAGACGAGAGAGGGGGAGAGAGAGAAAGAGAGAGACAGAGAGGCACGAAGGGAGTGGCATTACCTCAGAGCCAAATCAGTGGTAAGTGCAAGAGCCAGTAGCCGGTGCCTAGTCCAGCTGGAGTCCTCACCCGCAACCTCTAAGAATGGCGATCCAAGTCACAGCACCAGAAATGTTAGATAAATCAGGCTGAGGATTGTTGCAGGAAAAACACAGAAGGGCTCCGGCAAAGTGACTGCTGTTCAGCTTGGGAGTGAAACCAGCCAGCAATCTAATGGCCACTGTGGGGAAGTTCTTATAGGGCATTTGAGAATGTGGAAGGAAGCAAACAAATTTTAGAGTTTGGGGGGGAAGCATGGTATGTGCATTGTGAAACTTATAAGGGAATAAACATCTTGGGCTGCAGTACTGTGTCATGGATGCATGGGTCTTGTTTGTCTGTAGTTGGTCAACAGATATGCTGACTCAGTTGCTGCTTTTCATGGGGGCTTGCAAAACTAGGGGGGGTTGCCCTGAGCCTGAACTCTATCACCCCCCACAAAGAAAAAGAACAATTAATAGAAGAAACACCAATTCATCAGTGTACATACTAAATACACGAATCATATAGAATGTAAAATGTAAAAGGAAAGGCCCAATGTTTTAGTTTAAATACCTTTTTCATAAAAGAGTGGGAAAGGGTGCTGCAGACACATTTTGGAGGGGAGTACATGATTCTTAGGGGAAAGAAGGCCTGGGGATATAAGATGGCATGAGACAAAGTTCCCCTGGCCTGCAGCTGTGGTGTTTGACATCCAGTTTTCCTCTCTTCTTCCCTAATGAAACTTCAGTCTCAAGATTTGAAAGCAGTTGTGTCTCTGTGGAGCATCTGTCTTTAGGTAGATAAGGGACTGCATTCGTTACTTTTCCATAGCTGGGACACCTCACAAAAGCAGTATAAGAATGGGTACTGTCCAGCCGGGCCTGGTGGGACACAACTTTAGTTCCAGCACTCAGAAGGCAGAGGCAGGTGGATCTCTGTGAGTTTGAGGCCAGCCTGATCTACATAGTGACTTCCAGGCCAGCTGGGGCTACAGGGAGACCCTGTCTCAAAAATGTCAAAAAAAAAAAAAAAGTACAGTCCATCTTTGGCTAGGAAAGCATGGCAGCAGCAGAGTGAGGTGGCTGGTGGCATTGCCTCTACAGTCCAAAGCAGAGATAATCCACTGCTGGTGCTCAGCTTGCTTGCTCCTTTTATGACAGGTCAGTGTTGTACACTGGGAACCGAGAAACAAAACCATGCTACGAGGTCGAAGTTGCAGAAAAAGAAATTTATTAACTGCCGGGCTCTTGTGACAACATTTGGAGGTTCCACTGAGATTTTCACGACCTGGAGGTTGGAACTGCCAGAGGAAGGCCTCCAAGAGAGGTTCCTCCACCCCAGCCTTCTGCTTTTGGAGTCACTTGCCACTCCACAGGAGGAAAAGTGCTTTTGATTTCTAATTTTTGAGCTCAAGTCAGGTCTTGTTCTAGTTTCTGGTTCGGTGCCTTGGTACTAGGTGGGAATCTGGATGCAGCGATTACCAGTCTAGTCGGCCATCAGAGGCGATGTCCTCGAGGTCAATCTGGTTGGGATCTTGAAGGTCCCAACATGTGGGCCTTGTTTTTGTGTCTAATTCTTTTTGTTGTCAGGTCTGCTTCTTTGCTGGTTGTTACTATGGGCCAGTCTCAGTCTTGTATATCTCTCACCCTCCTTGAATATATGTTGAATAACTTTTCTGATTTCAGGAAAAGATCTGGATGTGTGGGGTTTAAACACAAGGCCCCCAGCTTCCTACCCTCTGTGAGCTGGACTAGGCACAGATTCCTAGTCTCGAGTCTTGACTGGCCATCTGAAGGCTCTTCTGCTCTAACCCTTGCTTATGCTGTTTGCAGGTTCACCTATGACCATCATCCAGACCACATTCCCTATATCCCTGCCTGGACTGATCTGCTAGAAAACCCCCCTCCTTGGGTTGCAAATTGCAAGGGCCCCTAAGCCCATCTTTCTAGTGACCCAAATCCCTAACAAGATTTACCCCATTCTCCAGGACCCTAAGAAGAGGAGGATGATTGACTACTCCCTTATGCTCAACCCCATAGGGAAGTTGGGGGGCAGATAACGCACCTCAGGGAGGTTCTGCATCCCTAGCCAGTCCTCCTCATACATGGTTGGGGGCTTCATATAGTGGGGAATCCTGTACCCTTCCTGACCCCATCCCCATTCTTCACCTCAGGGAGGTGGCCACGTCCCCCCCACCAGCCCAGAGGATGTTCCATGCTGATCTATGCTGATCTCTGAACTGGTGGAAATTTCCAAGAAGGTCTACAATGGCCAAGACAGCCCTGCAAAGGAACCAGAAAAAGAGATTGGAAAGATCTTGGTGGCTGCCTGGGGAAAGCCACCAGGCACCTGGCCCCAATCCCAATGATGTAGTGACAGATAGCCTAAAGGAGCAGGCGAAAGACGTAAACTGGAAAAGGACCAATGTGCCTGCTGTAAAGAAAGGGGCCACTGGAAAAAACGAGTGTCCTCTTAAACAAAAGAAACCAGCTTCCATCTTGCCTGCCGCTGAACAATAACTAGGCCAAGGCTTTTCCCTGAATCCCCTGGACCTATGGTGACTCTTAAAGTAGAAGGGAAGGATACCAAATTACTGGTAGATATGAGGGCTACTTACTCAGTTTTAAAGAAACCTGCTGGGCCCATGATCAAGGACAAGGTCTATATCCAGGGAGCAACAGGGAGGACCCAAGGGTATCCTCAGACTTGGGCAAGAATTACGGTAACCCATTTGTTCCTTCTTATACCTGATTGCCCATACCCGCTCCTTGGATGGGACCTGTTACATAAACTAAAGGCCCACATTTCCTTCACTGGAGATGCTGTTAATCAGGACCCACAGCCACCCACTGTGTTGGTGACTTGTACTGTGTCTGAAGAATATCAGTTATATAAAAAACCTAATGAACAGGACTCCCCACTACTAGATAGATGGAAAAAGGAAATTCCTACTGTTTGGGCTGAGGCCAAGCCTCCCGGGCTGGCACGGCATCAAGTGCCAATAGTTATCGAATTGATCAGCACCACCACCCCAATCAGAGTCAGGCAATATCCCATTAGTCACCAAGCCTGTCTGGAATTGCCAAGCCTATCAATTGCTTGAAAGAAGTAGGAATTTTGGTGCCTTGCCACTCCTCATGGAATACTCCTCTGCTTCCTGTTCCTAAGCCAGGAACTACAGAATTTAGACCTGTTCAGGACCTCAGAGAAGTCAATAAGAGGGTTGAGATCATACATCCCACTGTACCCAACCCTTATACCCTCCTCAGTGAGCCTGCTCCAGTTCATCGAGTCTATACTGTCCTAGACCTAAAGGATGCTTTCTTTACTTTGCCAGTAGCCAAGGAAAGCCAGCTCAATTTTGCCTTTGAATGGGCTGACCCAGATGGATCTTACAATAGATAGTTAACATGAACTAGACTGCCTCCGGGGTTTAAAAATTTCCCTGCTCTGTTTGATGAGGCCCTCCAAAGAGATTTAGTCCCTTTCAGGGATGCTAACCCTGAAGTCACTTTGTTATAGTATGTAGATGACTTGCTCCTGGCAGCAGACTCAGAGGAGACTTGTACTCAGACCACTGAGAACTTGTTGAAAGAACTAGATGCTTTGGGCTACAAGGTGTCTGTCAAAATGGCTCAACTTTGTCTGGACTCAGTCACCTATCTGAGCTATAAAAATTCATGAAGGAAAGCACTCCCTGGGGCCTGACAGGATTCAGGTTATACTGAACATACCAAAGCCCAAGACCAGGAGGCAAATTAGAGAATTCCTGGGTTCCACTGGCACTGCCACCTATGGATACCGGGTTTTGCTGAAATTGCTAAACCCTTATATGCAGCAACAGGGGGCCAGGGAGCTGACCTGGTTTGGAGAGAAATAGAAGATACTGCCTTCAACCAACCTAAGAAGGCTCTGAGTCAAGCTCCTGTGCTGGCCCTGTCTGATGTGACTAAGCCTTTTCAGCTCTTTGTGCATGAGACAAGGGGCACAGCCAAAGGGGTTCTCACTCAGACCTTGGGACCTGGAAGAGGCCAGTAGCATACTTATCAAAGTGATTGGACTCAGTAGCTACTGGATGGCCACATTGCCTCCGGGCCATAGCTGCCATGGCCGTACTGGTAAAGGAGGCTTCTAAACTAACCTTCGGATAGGACATCCAGATTGTTGGGCTTCACGCAGTAGAGTCACTCCTCAAATCCCCACCAGACCAATGGATCACCAATGCCCACATCACCCAGTACCAAGTACTGCTGCTGGACCCACCTCAGGTCACCTTTCTGAGAACCGAAGCCTTGAAACCTGCCACTCTGCTACCTGACAGTGATCCTAAGACTCCACTCCATGACTGCTTGGAAACCGTGAGTACCCTCTCAAGACTAAGGGAGGACTTGCGAGACCAGCCTCTGCCTAATGCAGACCTTGACCTATATACAGATGGCAGCAGTTATGTTAAAGAAGGTGTCAGGTTTGCCAGGGCCCGAGCACTTGGGAAAGGGACTTCTGCCCAAAAGGCTGAGTTAATAGCCCTCATGTAAGCCCTAAGATGGGGAAAAGGAAAAACTGTTAACATTTATACAGTCAGTATGCCTTTGCCACTCATCTATGGAGCCCTTTATAGAAAAAGAGGACTATTAACACCTGGGGGCAAAGAGATTAAGAACAAGGAGGAAATCTTGGCACTACTAGAGACTCTCTGGCTACCCAAAAGCTGTAGCTATTGTTCATTGTAGAGGCTATCAAAGGACAGACACCACACAAGCTAAAGGAAACTCCTTTGCTGATCATGTAGCCAAGGAAGCAGCAGAAGGGGAAGTGGTGCTGCTCAAAATTCTACCATTACTACCCTCTCACCTTCTCCCAGAGGAACCTGTCTATACAAGAGGGGAAGTTCAGCTAGCAAAAAGTTTAAAGGCTAAGAAAGGCGCCCAAAATTGGTACTGGTTGGAGGATGGGAGACCCATGCTACCAAAGGTGTTGGGAAGAGATTGGCTACAGACGGTTCATGGTTCTACCCACCTGGGAACCACAAAACTCACTGAACTGGCACAGAGTTTTGTTTTTTTTTTTATCCCTAACCTGAATAAAATTTCTAGGGACATCGTTAACAGATGTAAAACATGTGCTCAAACTAACCCTGCCTTGAAGTTCCAGTTTCAGGGCAAAGACTGAGAGGACAAGCACCAGGAGAAGTCTGGGAACTTGACTAAATGGAAATGACTGATGGACAGTATGGCTATCATTCCCTCCTGGTTCTGGTGGATACCTTCTCCAGTTGGGCAGAGTCTTTTCCTACCCAAACAGAGACAGCTCAGATATTGGTATAAAATTACTAAAATGATCTGATACTGAGATTTGGCATCCCTATCGGTCTGGGGTCTGACAATGGCCCAGCTTTTATAGCCCAGATATCAAAAACTATTGCAAAGAGCTTACAAATTAACTGGAAACTACACTGTGTTTATCACCTTCAGAATTCAGTAACAGGTAGAAAGAATGAACAGGACCCTTAAGGAAACCTTGACTAAACTAATTTCAGAGATTGGCAAAAACTGGGTAGGTCTCCTTCCTTTTTCCCTATTAAGAGTAAGATACACTCCCTATGCAAAAGGAATTACTCCATTTGAGATTATGTGTGGGAGGCTGTCCCACTAAATTTTCTCCTTCCCACTGTCTGTTTGACCCTCCCTCAGTCTCTTAAGGGTCTCTTGCTCTGGGCGCTATCAGACAAACCATATAGCATATCTTTATGTGAATTCATTATAGTTTATACCATTGGGAGGGGACTCACAAAGAAATGAACACCTGGTGTCCAGCTCTGTGCCATGGCTTAGAGCCCGCCATTCCAGATTGTGAGCCCACCACTCTGGATCGCTCTCGCGGCCTGCCCATAGTCACCGATAGCTTTCACCCATGCCTCGTGGACCCACAGTCTCACCCCAGGTTGGTAAATGCTGGGCCATTCCATTCTCACGCGCCCAGCTGCTGCACCCGGCTCCTGTCCAAGATGGCGCCCAGAAGCCCCTCCCTCTGTGGCTAACTGCCATAGTCAGTTCTCTGCAGCAGGCCCTGCCCCTTGGAGGAACCAGTCCCCTGGGACACAGAGGCCTTCTCCCTTAATCCCCAAACTAGGACTGGAGCGTATCTCTGAGGTTTCTAACCATGATCTTCTCAGGTCCCTACAGGTGTCGCAGCATGCGCTTCCCTCCATTCATAACCTTGTCTAGGAGACACGAGCCACAACAGCTACATCTCAGGAACAAACAGGAAAAGATCTGGGACCAGGAGACTGGGTTTGGGTGCAACGCCACTCAGCTCCTGACTTCCAAGCCTGCTGGGACGGACCATATCCTGTCATCCTAACCATACCATCGGCTGTCAAAGCAGCAGGACGCAGCCACTGGATTCACCAATCCCAACTCAAGGAGGCTCATCCCAACCACATTCCTCAGTCATGGACCCTGTCAAGGACCAACAACCCCTTAAAACTCAAATAGGTAAAACAAACCTCAGGACCTGGTTTATCTTATCTTTCTTGTTAACAAATGTGTTCTCTTTGTTAAAATCTAACCATGAATTGTATGTTTACAGTTGGGTATTTAGCAGGACTTCAGATGGATTTGTTATCCGAAATATCACAGGGTTGGGACCAGGCCCAGAGAGCCAAAAATCCACCTTTGATCTGTGTGAGCTCTGTGGAAGCCCTTGGAACACAGGGATAGATGGGAAGACCCTAGATCACATAGACTGCTCAAATTATGGGCATAAATGCTTAGAGCAAACTCTCAGTTCTTACGAATTTTACATCTGCCCAGCTGGGCCCTCTGGGTGCAAAGGGCAAAGAGATTTCTTTTGTTCCAAACGGGCTTGCAAAACTATTGCCCCGTGGAAAACATATAGTGATAAATATATTTACGTTAGGAGAGCCCCAAATGAAAAGAAAAGTCTGATAGGAAAATTCAGTCCCATCAAACTCTCTCTTAAACGTGATACCTATCAAGACCTAGATTGGAAAATGGGAAAGACCTGGGGACTAAAAATCTATAAAAATGGCTGGGATGAAGGAATACTTTTCACCCTTCGAAGGTTTAAACTGCCCACCATTCCCCAGATCCCAATAGGACCCAACCGTATTCTAAATCCTCCAGTTAATTGGGACACTCTCCCTAAGCCCTCACCTGATAGAACTGTTGAAGACCATCTTCCTGAGATCTTCAAGTCTCTCTATTATACCTATGCCTTCTTCAACACCACCGATCCTGACCTGACTAAAGATTGTTGGTTACGTTTAGATCCACGGCCCCCTTATTTTATAGGCCTAGGAATTACAGTCCAATTGGGAAATGATGACTCTGGGATCAAAAATTTAAGTGTTCCAGAGATCAAAAATAACACCCATTTCTGTTTATGGGGGACCTAGCCCTCCCTCACCTTAGGAAAATGAGAGGGACTAGGATCTTGCTTCCTGGCAGGAAATTATAAATTCGACAAGTCCAGGTATCGACAGTATTGCAACCAGTTCCTAAACCTGGCTCCCTTGAGCATGGGGATGAATCCCTATTATTTAGTTCCCCCTGAAGGCAGTTGGTTCATATGTGAGTCCAATTTAACCCCATGCATCAACCCTTACATTCTGTCCACTTCCAAAGATCTGTGTGTGCTTATTCATCTACTGCCCCAGGTATATTATTATTCTGGAGAAGAGGGTAGAGAACATTTTGGGCTCCTACCAGAGGTAATAAAAACCGGAGCTGTAGCAATAGCCACTATTCTTATCCCACTACTGGTGGGAGCTGGGATAGGAGGATCAGCTGGAGTAGGGACAGCCACCCTGATCATCCAGGATCAAATTTTCAAACTCCTTAGCAAGCAAATTGACCAAGATTTGGCTGAATTAGAAAAGTCCGTAGGCCATCTATTTCCCTCGAATCCCTGGCTGAGGTTGTATTCCAGAACAGATGTGGCCTAGACTTAATTTTTATGCAGCAGGGTGGGTTGTGCATAGCCCTAGGTGAACAGTGCCTCTTCTATGCAAATCACATGGGCATCATTAGAGAAAGGCTAAGCTTAGTAAAACAAAGATTAAAAGAAAGAGAAAAGCTATGGACAGAGTCCCAAAATTGGTATGGATCAATGTTTTCTTGGTCTCCTTGGTTGACCATCTTGCTTGACCATTAGTCTTGATCCTCCTAGCCCTTACTAGTGGACCTTGTTTACTAAATGCTATAGTGAGGTTCGTGAACCAAGGTATAAGTTCAGTCAAGCTCATGGTCCTCAGGAGCCAGTATGATCAATTGGGAACCATTGATCATGATTCCATCTGTGATGAGCCAGAATCTTCAAGGGTTTGAATATCCACAATAGGAGCAGAGAATGTTGTAGGCCCTTGACCATTGAACATGCATCTTGCAGGCTCTTTGTGACCTGACCTAGTTCTTTACAGTTTTCCCCAAAACCATCCCACTTACAGAGTGCTCCAGTTTTCAGAAAAGGGATTCAAATGTTGTGCCAAGATAAGCTGATGCTAATGCTATGTCTGCTTCTGTTCCTGCCTGCTTGCTCTTGCTGGTTAAAGATTGATCTTATTGTCCTGTTTCTAAGTAATAAACAGGTTTGAACTGTAACCTATTCATATGCAAATATGTCCTTAGAATGAAGCTAACATGATTGGGCAATATGTACTTAAAATTAAGCCATTATGATTGGGCCTTTATGTTTCCGGGTGGCTTGAGGCATCCAAGTGTGCATAAAAGGCCAGGGCCTGCTCTCTGTATTCACTTCCAGAGTGCAAGGACAGCCAGATCATTAATAAATTTTTTTCTGCAACTCCGACCTCATGGTGTGGTTTGGTTTCTCGGTTCCAGGTATACAACAGTCAGGATGCTTTCTATGGGATGGTGCCAGCTGCATTGGGGTGGTCTTGGCACCTCAGTGAAACCTCAGTGGAAACCCCTTGATAGACACACCCCGCAGTGCTAGGTGATTCTAAATCCAACCAAGTTGACAATGAAGATTGGCCATCACAGCTCCCAGGAAGAATTTTGGACTACATCACAACAGGTAAGGAAGTGTGTGTCTAGAGTCAGGAAGTCCTTTAGAACCTTGGTTACTGTGCTGTTGTGTAGCAATTTCTTCCTCATTGAAACATTCTTTCCTGGAAGGAGGAGGTAGGCTCATAAGACTCCAAATGAGAACTCCCAAGTAAAGATTCACAAGTCTCAGGGAGTTCCTGAAACTAACAAGAGTCTCAACATATCCTCTCCAAGGTGAGGAAAGCAGTAAACAACTGCTTGGGGAGGACACTGCCTAGGGGACACTCTGACTTGTGGAGCTGTCTGTAAGACATGCAGGGAGCTTCAGGGATTTTCTGAGTTGTCAACCATGCTGAAGAGGGGCAGCTAGGGACAGTTGTCTGATCAAGAAAAGAGGGGCCCCTTTAAGAAGGGCCCCTTCTTGCCCCTGCCCCCAGGACTTTTTGCAACTGTTACAATAGCTAAAGGTGGTTCAATAACCTAGCAATGGGCATTGGTTAGACTGGACAAATTGTTGCAGTTGCTAACACTCTGGATGGAACAGAATAAAAAGCCCATCAGCATGAAGAAAAGAGCCACCCTCCAAGGGAAGCTACCCCAGGCAACACCAGTGAGGTACAAAGTGACAGAGTCTGGACCAATAACAACCCTTAATCCAGTGCAGTAAGGCCTTCTGATTTTGCAAGTCCCGATTGGACAAGTTTTGCAAGGCCCCTTGGAATGCGGAACTGAGTCTACTGACCATCTGCAGACAGATAAACAGGTTCCTTGTACCCATGACCCAAGACTTCATGACTGCAAGAGCTGTTTTAGCTCAAGCTGCCTTCCCCCTGATAAGTTTCACAGTGTGCACACCCTGCTTCCCAGAGAAACAGTAAAGATTATTTTTGCTGCCTTTCCTATTCTCCAACCCCCTATAAGGACTTCCCCAGCAGTCATCAGGCTGCTCGTTGCTTTCACTCTGAGCTGAACACCACCCCCTGAGACTCCACAATAAACTTTACTTTGCCGGAGTCCTGTGTGTTCTGTGGCGATTCCCTGCTCGATTTAACTAACATTTGGTGCCATGAATCAGATTGCTGTTCTTAGAGGTCACTGGGGAGGACTCCTGCCAGATTGACCACTGGCTACCGGCTCCTTCACGTACCACCAATTCGGCTCTGAGGTGCCTCTACTCCCCTCACACCTCTCTCTCTCTCTCTCTCTCTCTCTCTCTCTCTCCCTCCCTCCCTCCCTCCCTCCCTCCCACCTTGCCCTCCCTCTCTCTTTTTTCCTTTTGATTTAAGCTCTGAGGTCATTCCTGGACCTAGCCTAATGCCACTGGGTGACGCTGGTCTCTGCAACCGTTGAGCTGCTGGCACAGTTACTGAGCTTTACACATGCCCACTTAGTGGGTATACCCGCCCAACCCATTGCACTCAAGTCCTGTCACTTAGAGGTCCTTGGATCTGGAGACTGACCTCACAAAGGAGCACAGCTACCCTCCAGGCCTGCTAAAAGGTTGTCCTGCTACCTGTTGCTACCAGGGGTCCCTGAGGCCTTAGGAACCTATTACCTATGCAAGGGGAGCAAGCCTCTTGTCTTGAGGTTTTATTGGTGGTCTGTGTCCTTTTGGGTTTAGATTCCATGAACCAAGATCTCTCTCTCTCTTTCTCTCTCTTGCCCTCCACGCTTCTTCTTCCTTCCCTCTTACCCCTCCTCTTACTCTGCCTCCTTGCCGTGCCACACTGCGGAACAACTTTCTGAGCCTTGCAAAATGCACTGGTGTGTCAAAAAGCCCCACGTATTTCCCCTCCCTAGTTGCAGGACGCTGCTTCTGGGGACTTGGGACACTCTCTCTTCCTTGGGACTCCTTCCTTTGGGGGACGCCTCTCTGGTTGGTGACGCTGCACTTGTCTGCCTGCCACGCTTCTCACTTCATGCCTCTTTTCCCTTTTCTCCTTCCTGCTCTCCTATTTCTTGTAGCCCTACCTCTCCTTCCCGGAAACTTGTCTGCCATCCCAGACTCAGCTTCCCTTGGTGAGAAGATCTTTATCGTCTCCTTCTACCTACTCAAGCCCTTTTTCACTTTCTCTTTTCCATTTTCCTAGCCCACCATGGGAACCTCTCAATCTAAATCTGCAGGCCTTTCCCCCCTCACCTGTCTCCTCCAGTCTCTCAAACCGTTGGAGCTCTTAGATACAGTTTTATCAAAGCGTCTCAAATTTCTCTGCACCATGGCCTGGCCACAGTATAAGCTGGACAATGGCTCCATCTGGCCAGAAACCGGAACTCTAGACTTCAACATTCTAAGAGATTTAGACAATTTCTGCCAATGTAATGGCAAATGGTCCGAACTCCCCTATGTCCAAGTCTTCTTTGCCCTTCGTGCAAGACCCTCCCTCTGTGCCTCCTACCACACACACCAAGTTCTCCTTGCTAAAACCACCTCAAGTGATCTGGAGCCTTCTGCTCCTCCTCCATATTCCCTTACTTCAGCCTTCAGTCCTGACTTGGTGGACGAACAACCCCCTAGTTTCTTGCCACGGCCCTCCTCCTCCTCCTAACCCTCTTCTACTCCTCAGCCAACCCCTCCAACTCCACAACCAACCTCTCCTACTCCACAACCGATCTCTCCTCCCACCACCACCCAACCAAACTCCTCTGCTACCCCACCATCACCATCATCCTCTTCCTCCTCCTCCATGCCACCCTCTCAATGGTCCTCCAGTTCTCTCACCCCTCTGCCCTTCCCTAGGTCTCTCCTCAAGGGAATTGAAGACCTCCAGTACCTTCTTTCCTCCTCTCTCTCTTCCACACCCTGTCCTGTTCCCCACTTACCTCCGCTGCCCCATGCCAGGTTCACCCTCATATATTGTGAATTTTCCCCCAGATGCCCCATCTTCCACCTTCAGCCGTCCACTCCTTTACCCCTCCGAACACCATCTCCTCTGTCCCATCACACCTGCTCTCAAACAGGACCCCAACCTCAATCCCAAACCCCCGATGGTGTCTCCCTTCAGAGGCAGCAGGGGTAGAAGGTGTCTTTAAGATCCATGTTCCTTTTTCTCTCAGTGACCTGGCTCAGATTAAACACAGGGTGGGATCGTTTTCCACTGACCCCACCCATTTCATTAAGGAATTTAAATACCTAACCTTCAATTATGATCTGACCTGGCACGATATATTCATGATTCTCCAGTCTACCCTCACCCCTGATGAGAGCGATAGGGTCTGGACAGTTGCTCAAGAGTAAGCTAATGAAGATCATTTTACTGACCAGACCCGTCCCATCTGGACTGTGGCCCCGACCAGAGGGACGGGATGGCCCCTCTCCAGGTAGGGCTTTGAGAGACCACATGGTCACCTGTCTTCTGGTAGGCCTTCAGAAAGCCTCAACCCCCAAAGTTGTTAACTTTGTCAAACTAAGAGAAATTACTTAAAACCCCACTGAAAACCTGGCCCAATTCATGGCCAAGCTGACTGAGGCCTTAATTCAGTACACCTGGTACAATCCAGAGTCTAGGGAAGGCCAGTTTATGCTCAACCACCACTTTATATCGCAATCAGCTCCTGATATCAGGAAGAAGTTTAAGCATTTAGATAAGGGCCCAAGACCCCACCAAGGAGATCTGTTGAATATGGCATTTAAGTGTTCAATAACTGAGAGGAACAGGAGAGCGCAGACAAGATTACCCTGTCTAGACACAAATACCAGCTGAAGGCCATAGGCCTGAAGGCTCTTCCAAAGAAGATGGTGGACACCAATGGAGCCCAATGACTGCTGCCAGGACCCTGTTTCAGATGTAGACATACTGGCCATTGGGCAAAACTGTGCCCTAACCCACGACCACCTCCTGGACCCTGTCCTTAGTGTGGGCAGAAAAGCCACTGGAAGGTTGATTGTCCTTTGTCATGCCAATGTAGGCCGATCACCTCCCCAACCCTGCCCACTTTACAGGGATCTGTGGACAACCTTCTGGGCTTGGTGGCCAAAGACTGATGAGGCCCTGGCCCCTCAGCCCTGATCTCCTTGATGACCATCACCATGAGGAGCCCAGGGTAACAGCCACAGTGGCAGGTAAGACCATTTCATTTGTCATAGACATGGTGGCCACTTGGTCTGTCCTCTCTTCCTATTTGGGTAAAATTTTTCTCTCACTGATCTCCATGGTAGGGGTCAATGGGAAGTCCCATACCCCTACCCTACATATTTTGGAAGACTACCCTTACTCATTCCTTTCTAACCATGCCCTCTTGCCTGGCCCCTCTGCTTAGTAGGGACTTTATGCAAAAACTCTTTCCTTCACCTTCCTCTGTCTCACAGCTTTTCTTCTCAAACCCATGACTCCACCTCCAAAAACTAGGACTTGGCTGCTCCCAGCATCCAAGGTCAACCGCAACATATGGGACACCTCTGCCCCAGGACTAGCCTCCCATCACTCTCCTCTTCTCGTCTCCTTAAAAAAATCTCTCTACATACCCTAGCAGGACTCAATATTCAATCTTGCTCAAACTGGGACTTAAGCCTATAATTCAAAAACTCATACAGGCCCATCTCCTCAAACCCACAAGTAATTCACTCCCCTTATAACACCCCTATCCTCTTCACCCTCAAACCTAATGGACCCTACCATTTGGTCCAGGACCTCTGCCTCATAAATGCAGCTGTAGTTCCCATTCACCCAGTCGTTCCTAACCCCATGATCTACTCTCTCACATCCCCTCCTCACCTATACACTTTTCTGTTCTGGACCTTAAGGATGCTTTTTTCTCACTCCGCTT